AATAACCCCCCCCCAAACAACAACCCAACAAAGAACAAGCAAAAAGCAAAACAAAACAAAATAAAAACGAAACCCCCCCAAAAAAACCCCAGCAGCAACAAACAAACAAACAAACAAACAAGTAAGACGATCTGTCTGCACACAAAACTAGGACAGACCTACATAATAAACGCGATCCATATTCCTCTTTCAATGTAATGATGTCTTGTTGCGAGAATGCTCACGGGGCCGGATTTATGTGGCTGGCCTTGCGAAGACTACGCAGCCTAAGTGCTAGACTCGGTCTTAGACGCTTAAGGCGGAGTTATGAGCCGGGGCACACGGAGGTAAGACCACCCTAGTGGGTCGGACTTACGCTTAAGTCCGTGGAAACTATCAGAACAAGCTCTCTGTGAGGCAGCACAATCTGGATCCCAGGAGTGGGACAGGACAGGACTGTAACAACATCTTTTTATACACTCTGTCTCCGATTCGAACGCATTCTAAGTTTCCACCGCTTCTGTGGCGCCGGTGGTCTAGTCGTTAGAGTGTCAGGCTCAAAACCGAAACGTCACGGATTCGAACTCCGCCAGGGATCCGGTGTTGTGTCCTTAGAAAAGGCACTTTGCACCCAGGAGAACCGAGTGCGGTTCTCCAGTGGAAAGAAAATTTTATTGATTATTTCAGTCTTTCTGCAGGGATGTTGTATTCCTGTCAGCTTGGGTAGGCCCTGACAGGCAGAGGCGGAAACCCACTTCCTAAATGATCTAACTTGTGATGATAGGAGCGTAAAAACACCCCCCCGCCCCCTCTAAAAAACCAGCCCTCTCCTAAGAAAACCCCAACAACGACCTAAAACAAAACAAAAAAGCCTAACATTTCCCCATTTGACTTGTTCAGCCACACTTGACGCTGCTTAATAAAAGACTCCCCAGCCCTAAAAAACAAAACACCCCCCAACCAAAACAAAATAAAACTAAAGAACAAAAAACAAAAACAAAACAAAAACAAAACAAAGCAAAAAGAACACCCCCCCAAAAAAAACCCAACAACATCACACCCT